GGTATGCAGGGGTTGGATTGTTTGTCTCACAGTTTCTCACAAGTGCCCTTATAGCTGTAATTTGCTGGTATGGTGGGAAGCTGTTGTTCCAAAAAACGATAACATACAAGCACCTCTTTCAAATATTTTTCATTTTGGTGTCAACAGGAAGAGTTATAGCGGAGACTGCTAGTATGACGGCTGACCTATCAAAGGGAACCAGTGCACTGAAGTCAGTTTTTCAGATTATACAAAGAGAGACTAAAATGGACCCTGAGAATCCAGATGGTATCAAGACAGAAAAAATTAATGGAGAAATAGAGTTTAAGCAGGTGTATTTCATCTACCCAGCAAGACCAAAACAGATCATTTTGAGGGGATTAGACCTAAAAATTGAAGCTGCAAAGTTTGTTGCATTGGTTGGAAGAAGTGGATCTGGAAAATCCACCATCATCAGATTGATTGAGGGATTCTATGACACATTGAGTGGTTCAATTGAAATCAATGGAATCAACATCATGCGCTATAACTTAAGGGCCTTGAGGTCACATATATCATTGGTAAGTCAAGAACCAACTCTTTTTGCAGGAACAATACGCGACAACATTGCATATGCAAAACAAAATGCAACTGAAGCAGAGATAATTGAAGCATCAAGCATTGCGAATGCTCATGAATTTATAAGGTGTAATTTCTTATTTACTTTTCTTCTTCTTATTTCTTTCTCTTATTGTCAGTTCAGAACCTAAATTTTCTTAAATTACTACTCCGATGGAAGCTCCCTGAGGGATGGATATGAGACCTACTGCGGGGAAAGAGGTGTGCAACTATCAGGAGGGCAAAAGCAAAGAATAGCGCTTGCTCGAGCCATATTAAAAAATCCTGCAATACTTCTCTTGGATGAGGCAACAAGTGCACTGGATGTTAATTCAGAGAAACTTGTTCAAGAGGCACTAGAGAGAACCATGTCAGGCAGGACAAGCCTAGTTTTGGCTCATCGATTGTCGACAATTCAGAAAGCTGATAAAATAGTAGTCATTGATAAAGGGAGGGTCGTAGAAGAGGGAGATCACAGTGGGCTTCTTGCTCTAGGAGAAAAGGGTGCATACTATGCACTTGTAAAACTCCAACAACTTTCTGTCATTTGATGACGACCCTAGCTAACTACAAGTAGTGAACCAAGATAAAGAATGTGCAGGGATATATAGAATTTGTTTCTGAATTAAAATATAGATGATAAATCATTTCCGATTTGTGAAAGTGTATTTGTTGTTATTCTTATACCTCTTGGTTTCAGTATTGAAATGTAAGCCAGAATCTAGCCTGCAGACGCAACGATGCCTCATCTCCATGAGATAAAGCCCCACGACTGATCATGAAGTTTAAATGCAAGCTCCGGATGCCTTCTGTTCGTAGAAATTGGCAGTGCAAGGGTCCTTTTACTATGCCGCAGTTGTTACTATCCTGATAGTCCTGTTAACTCACTTTTGATTCTCACAGGACACTGGTTTACCAATTTCAGTGGAAAGGAATGCAAGGAAATTTTATCAAAATCTCACAAATTGGCAACAAATTTCAGAGGTTAAGAACAGAGAGAAGAATATTTCCGAAGAATAAGCTATAAACATTCTATAAACTTATCAGGAGTCTCCAAGCTGGGAGCTACCTGATAAAATTAAAAGTATATGGTTCCATCTGATCAATGGAGACAGACTGAAGGAACAAAATGAAATTTCCTGTCGAGTACTCCTAAGGAGACCGAGCTTAGGTCTCTAGAATTCAAGGGAAACAAAAACAACCCTTGGAATAAGGGTTTATGGACAAAGGTAAACTGTAGACTTGCCTTAGTCGACAATGTTGAGGGCCATCAAGGCCTGTAAGTTACTCAAAAGTGACTCTTCTTCCTCATCTGATAAGGTGCGAATTATTTCTAAATTATTTTCTTCTTCTTTAATATATTAATATCCGAGGAATTTCAGAATCTAAACCTTTTTTTTTTTGTTTGTTTAGTGAATGTCCTGAATCCTAATGGACCTTCAGAGCATATGACTTCTAGAATCAAAAGTGAAAAAAAAAAAAAGTGACTCTTTTACATATGCATGTCTTGAAAGCTATTTAGAAAGCTTATATTACACTAATGAATTCGTTTTGTTAGTTCTATATATAAAATGGATAATAAGATTTTTTTTTATTTTTTTTTATTTTTTTTTATTATTTTATATAAAAATATTTAGCTAATAGTAACTTTTTCTTGCAGGCTGCAGTTTTTTTTTATATGAACCAAAATTGGTAAAACTTTTTGTAAAAACTCACATGCAAAATAATGATTGTCAGGAATGCAACAACTCGTGGATAGTCGAGCTTAGAAGTTCGTGCTAAGATGAATTCTAACAATTTTTTTATTAATTTATTATTTTTAAAATTAGTTAATTGACTGTAGAAGAGATATAAGGACAATTCTTTGGTATATTTAGAACTTAATTTAGATTTATAGTTGGAGGTTGAATCTTTTAGTGGAATTAATAGAAATTGAGTTTAATGTATCTCACACACTATTGTCAAGGATATACAAACAAGCTGTAGTGTATTGACCGTTAGTTCCTCGCAATCAAGTTCAAGTTCTTAATCTCTAGCTGTCCAGGCTATTGTACAAGAGCAAGTTGAAGTTCAAATAACTCAACTTAGTACTAAGATGACTCAACTTAATCGATTATATGTGGAGTTATTGTCAAACTTTGGAGGTACTAGTGGTCCACCTCATTGCCCACCTTGATTATGAAGAAGATCCACCTCCTTCTCCTCTAGCTTCTTTTTTTTAGATAAATTATATTCAAACTAATATTTTTTAAATTAGTAATAAATATTTGATTTTTTTATTTTAGTTCTATTTCTTCTTTTTTGTTTTTTATTTTAATATTTTTAAAAATATTAAATAAAATACCAATGAAACTATAAATTATAGGATTTTGACACTATTAATTACAAATGGAATTACCAGCATACTAAGTCCTTCAAAAACTTCTAGAGAATTCGAAAAAAATACATAAATTTTCATTAACAATATATAAATTATCGACAGGTTAATTATATCAGTAATATAAATTCAATCACCGATGAAATTAAAAATGATATTTTTTATCGGTGATATGTCATCTTCACATATGACAATAAATTATTTTTTGTTTGATATTTTTTTTTAACATAAATCTATTGGTGAGTATATGATAAACAGACTTAATGAAAAAATAGAAATCACCATAGTTAGGTTTTTTATAATTTACCATTCATAATTACATTGATAAATATTTTCCCAACAAAATCAGTGTTTAAAAACCAATGAATTATACCGTAGATATTATGCAAAATTCTGGTTGTGTTCGAGTGATTTTGTATGTTCTGTGCCTGTGCTTTGACTGAGATAATTGGTGTGAGTTCTTTTAGGGAGAGGATTTGTGTGATACTCTTTGTCAGCGAATATATTCTCACCATGCACATAAAGATCATTCGAAATAGAGACATGAAAATTTTGATAAATGGTTGACAACGTTAGGCAGGGCTCCTGCAGATCTTTGGCCTCTGATATGGACTGGTTATTATTTGGGAATTGCCTTCCCAAGATGTGGTATAGCCGTAAGAGTAGTTTTTGGTTTTCTAGGCCCCTTTTCTACCACAACATTCTTCTTCAAAGGAAAATTGGAGACATTACAAGGGCCCTAGTAGAAGATACAGATTGTGAATCCTGGCTAGCTTAAGTATTAAAATGAAGGATTTTGATGTCCTGGTCCCTCCACTCCCATGAGTCATTGGTGTGATCGCGGCCTATGAAGTATTAACGAAGGCTTGAAATCTGCCATGGATACAAAGGGCGTGCAAGACTCTCGAGTTAACTGATGGTGAAGCCTCTGCCAAGAGATGAAGTTATGATCACGATCCTCCTTCTCGCCATGTTAGTTTGTCACCTGCAACATGTTAATCAAATCTAAATCTAGGAGACCTCCCATGTGGGAATGAAAGAACATGGAAACTAGTGAGGTTCCTTGAGCCATCCATAAGAGCTCCCTGTTTCATTTCTATTGGGAAAATGGGAACCTGGCGCACCATATACACTGAGATTATAATGTTCAAAGCCATCGATATATATAATGTCATATCGCCTTTGAGAGACTGAAGGGATACGGCAGAGATCCTATGCAATCCAACAGAGATGAAAAAGATCAATTCTTCGAGTCATTTGGATTTTTCTCAAACTGGAGGGATACCTGCAATTCAAGATGAGAGACTCTAAACTATTCAATTGGCTAATGAAAAGACTTCGTTCCAACGTGCATCTAACCAAGAACAACTTCTTAAGCCATATACTTATTGGCTTGTAGTTTACAGTCCTGTGCTCAGCAGTGCTTGATTTTGCTTTAACCTAGTACTTCTTTAGCCATAAATTTATTGGCTTGCTTTGTAAACTTATTTTTCATTAATGAAATTTTTATCACATTCATCCAAAAAACATCTAACCAGGCACAATTTCTTCAAATTGGTTTTTGCACCTAAGAGCTCCTTTAAACCACACTACCCTTTTTTTGCATTGTTCAAGTTAAGATAGAGATCTATTGCACCCGTTTTAATGACAAAACCAACCCTTCAATCAATATCATCAGTGTCGTCACACCCTGCATGCAGGTTTCTCTTTCAGGGAGCTAGAGCTTGTTAGGCCTATCCAAGATGAGGTTAAACAGCAACAACCAAACATGCTTCCATCTATATATGATAGTAAACTTGTTCTAACAGCATCCATCAGTGCCAACTGCTCTCGAGAATCAAATGAACAAGTTCACTTCATCTCATAAAAGATAATGCTATGAGTACTTAAATGTTTTACAAAATATTTGTACTAACTGATATGGCATTTGTTTCAGGAAAAGGTTTTCAAATCATAGAATCTGAATCTCATCTCATTTATAAATGAAATGAGAATTATAGAATATATTAATAAATGAATCCCCAATCATGTGCTGCTACATCATTCAGTAAAACAATGCTAGTGAAAAATTAATTACCTCTTGCATTATCCTTTCATAAAATGAAAGTAACTGGAGAGCAAGGCGCTGCAATATTCCTAGCTAGAGTGAATTCCGTTCAACCAATATTTTACAGCGTGTTCGCATCACACCTTGCTACAATACGTAACAAAATGTGCTATCCTCCGAAAAAAATATCACAAATCCTTCATTCAGAAAATTCAGAAGAATTCATCTTTCTACTACAACATTCTCCCACCTTGCATAAATGGTCTGCTCTTTTTGCTCCAAAGTTTCAGAAGAATTCACCAGTCTACCACAATATTCATCTTCAAAAATAGTGCTGAGGTTATCTGCTAAAAAAGAAGGGAAAAAAAAGGAGAGAGAGGCTATCAATTAAGTTTATATACATATTTGCCACTACTTCTGTTGTTGAGTAATTACACATCAATGAGGAATCACTACAATTATGCAAGCATTCGGATTTATGTATTTCCAAGGATAGTTGTCATGGCCATCTTAGTCTAAAAAACCTCTACTTCCCTCATCTTTTGTCATTGTACAAATTTGATACAGATAGCAAACCCTATAATAAATACCAGTTTATATACATAGCAAGCTGGTTTGACAGTGTAAATAGCTGGAGACACAAGACATAGATGACCCTAAGGTTTATTGATATTTAGTTTGGGGGAAGAAGGTTAAAATGAAGGTAACATTTGAAATGTTAATTGATAATTAACAGCTAAAAGAGATAACTTGCTGCCGATTATGGTGTTTTTGATCTACTTCTACATATTATTCAACAAATAATATTATTAGATAAGAAGAAACCCTGACAATATCCAATCCTACAATTTGAGTGCAGTTAACGTAAGAGAGTCAAGTTATCTGTTGTCCTTTTTGGTGAACAAGCCAAGCATTATGGATAGCTTCTCACATCAAGTTGCCTATGCAATATGAATTACTTCCAGTTTTAAGCATGTGGAGAATATCTTATCACATCAATAATACAGATGATAATACAGAGGATATAGAGCATGATCAGATGAAAATGTGGTATATTGATACCTGCAATCAAGTCATTTTGCATGGTGTAATTCCCACAAGACTTGTTCATCAAGCTTGCTCAACTTCTCATCATCAAGACGCTTCCATGTCCTGATCCTCTCCATTCCCATCCAAGACTTCTCACCCTTTTCAAGTTCTGCCAATATGATCCTTGCTCTCCTTGACCACCCAGCTATTCCATAAGCATGATACCCAAAGCCTCCACCATAACAAAACCATATACCTTCTAAATTCCCACAAAAGTCATTCTTGTGATCATGGCCCATGAACACAGCCTTCACATCTCCCATGGATACAAGGGTCTGTAAGACTCCTGAGTTAACTGATGAACAAGCCACGCTTTCCTGAAACTGGCCAATAATCTTTTGGTAGTATAGCTGTCGAATTTCTGGAATTGGGATATGGAAAAATGCCAATGCACAGCGTGTGGGTGTAGCTGATGGTGAAGCCCCTTCCAGGAGATGACAGTCCTCCTTTCGGTCCTGTTAGTGAGTGAACTGCAACATGTTAATAAAATCTAGATTTAGCAGACCTCCCTCTGTGGGAATTGAGAGAACATGGACAGTAGTTAAGCAATCAGTTGCAGAGCTAGGCCTTTCCTTAGGAAGCTGAAAAATACATGTACATAGAAGTTAATTCAGTATGTGCATGTTTTATACAAACTATGTGTTTGCATAAGCTTCAATGTAGTGTATAACCATACACATTCACACACAGGCATCTCTATTGACATCGTATTAAGAAAACATACACCTATATATTCTAAAATAAAGTTTAGTTTATACTTGGTGCAAATTAAACAACCTATTTTCCATAAAACAGAAAAGTATAGTTATCATAGCAACAAATTTATCTTAACATAATCATTGACGTTTGCATATCAATAGATGAAATGAGACCCAAGCTTAAGCATCTTTTTAAAATATCAATAACCATGGTTTGGTTTCAACCAATTTGCAAATTTTGTTATACCTGATAACCCTTGGAAACACCATGAAGCCAACGAAGTTGAGATTCCTTAATCCATCCATAAGTTCTAACTCCTTGAACAACCTCCCTGTCTCCACTGTCAAGAAAGAAAAGATCAAGAACAGTTCTGTTAGCTGAATGTGAACCTGGAGCACCATATACCCTGAGATTATAATTTCCAAAGCCATCAATATCTGTTATCGTATCGCCTTTGGCTGCACTAGAAGCATCTTCCACTGATGGATTGATTTGTGATACTGAGTAATCCAATAGTGATATGAAAGACATCAATTCTAGTCGAGTCATGGTAGATTCTTGGTCATGGTTTCCTAAAACCACTGCCCATGGAAGTCCAGATTCCATGGCAGGTGCAAAGGCACGAAGCAAAGATTCAGCAGCATCAGGAGTGCTTGAACCAAATATATTATCTCCTATATATAAAAACTGAATGTCAATCTAAAATACATGAAATTCATAATTCCATTAACATGCAAAAAAGCAGCAGTCCACATCATCAACAAAGCATACTTAGTTTAGTTTAGTTGCCAATATCTAGCCAACTCATAACTCTAAATTAAATTCAACTTAAATTGTACAAACAAACAAAAAATCCTGTTCTAAGTCAAAACAAACTTAGAATCATGTATGACTTTACCATAATAGCCTATTGAAGCAGTCTATATCTAAAACAAGCACACGGCAAGAAACCATATTTTTCACAATCAAGAAAAGCAATGTATTTATATTATTTCTATATCAGATCAGGCACGATCACCTTTATTATCATGCAATAAGTAAATTCATTATATCTTTTAATTAAGAACCCAAAATTAATCCTCAAATCTATATCCTCTACATTCATTATTACATTATTTATAAAAGAGAGAGAGAGAGAGAGAGAGAGAGAAAACCAGAAATGAATTATGTATACCTGTAAAAGCAATGAAATCAGGCTTCTCGGCTTCAATGATCCTCTTAAGAAAATGAGTGGTGTTAAGATCAGAACAATAATGAAACTCAGAAGCTAACACATCTTTGCAACTTGTCAGCACCCCAGTTCCATAATGCATATCAGCCACCTGTTTACTTCCACGTGTCAGTCACAGGGCTACATATGCCAAGAAAAAAGAAACCCATTTTTTTTTCAAGAAACACAGTCAAGAAAGGAAACCCCCTGTAGCTAGAACAAGAACTTAAAAAAAAAAAAAAAAAAAAAAAAAGAATGGGAATCACAGAAAAAGAAGAGAACCTGAAGGATTTTGAAGGTTCCATCAGAGCTGAACCTGAGAGGGAGATGTGGGGATTTCTTGAGGTGAAGAGGGTGGTGGCCTATAAGTAATTTGTCAGCGATCTGGGTGTGTAGAGAGAAGAGGATTGTCAAGATTAAGATTAAATAAAGAAAAGAGTAGAGCCCTTCCATGGTTTTGTTCATTTCTTCTTCTAACTAGCTAGCTAGATAGCTCCAACAAATGAGAAAAACGAGGAGGGCATTTTGACTGTCTCTCTCTTTCGTACTAATATCCTGATTACTTTGTTTTAAAAATATTTAAAAAATTATTTTAAATCATTTTTTTATTTTAAAGTTATTCTGATAAAATTATATTAAAAATAAATTTTAAAAAATATTATTGTAATATATTTTTAAATAAAAATTAATTTACAGTAAATAAAACACAAGTGTTAAATAAAACTGTAAGGTTACTTTAGAATGTAAAAGATAATATTTCATGTATGACTTTACCATAATAACCTGTCGATCCAAATTGTTGGTTGTTATTATTAAAGTTATTAAATTTAATTTGAGAATTCATCCAAGATAAGATCAAGTAAGTTAATACAAAATAATAAAGAATAAAATAATATTTTTTTTAAATAAAAAACTCTAACAAGTTCTTTACCAAGTTTAGGATCAACTTGAATTTTTTAATTTGATAAATATAAGGTTAACTCTTCTTTATTAATTAATTATGAAACCTAATCCAAGTTAAACCTTGAGTTTAGCGACACAATGAAAAGGTTTTTTATTTACAAAGATTACATATATTTTGATAATTATTTATGGGAAGTTTATATCTGAAAAATAAAGTTGATGTATAATATCTTATTTGTTGTACCTTGGTTTTTTATAGAATTTTCTTCCTATCTTTAATTTTTATCTAGATAATATTAATATGTGATTGAAATTACAGGAATTCTAACTAAATATAGATAATAATATCTAAATATTTGCATATTTTGGAACCAAATTATAATAAAGATGATTTTCATTGTGAGAATTTGCGAAAATGGTTTGTACAAAATCATTTAATATTTTATCTTTTTTTAATTATTCAAAATATAATAACAATGAAAACGAGAACGACGGAAAAAAAATTGTAAACTCTTATTTATTTATGCTCTACAAGGCTCGGTCCAAGATATTATATTATTTAGTATGTATTTGATATTTTTATGCATGACATATTTTAAAATAGTTTTTTATTTAAAAATATATTAAAATAATTTTTTTAAAATTTTTTAATATTATATCATTAAAATCATTAAAAAATATAAAAAATTATTAATTTATGTCCAAATCAAGAGTAGACTCATCAACATCGTTAATAAAACCTTATTATTTCAATATTATTTATGTCCTCTCACGTAGATTGAAGAAAAACTTGAATAAGATTATCAATTCTATTTTATTTTATTTTGTCTGAAATAAAATATTTATATAAATTTAAAAAAGGAAACAAAATAAAAAAATTCATCTTATTTTAAATCTCATTTGTTTCGGATTTTTTAGCTAAATTTCAATTAGAATATTCCTGTTTTATTTCACATGTTCCGTTTCAGTTTTGAAAAACCATTGAATCAAATTAAATCTGATTCAATTTAATTAATTAAACCATTCAAGTATAAAAAGTTTTTTTTATTATTATTTTTAATAACAATGATATTAATTTTTTAAAATTAAATTTATCACTAATATATATAGTTTATATTTATGTTATTTTTTTCATATATACTTTGTTTTGTTTGATATTATATTTGAATTATATAATTTATAATTAATTTATTTTAAATTTAAATTTAAATTATGTTTGTTGAATATATATATATATATAACCTTGAAATTACACATTAAAATACTTTAAAATAAAAATATTTTATTCTAATTAAAAAAATAAAATATTTATCAAAACAGAATTGTTAACTTAGCTTGAAAACCACCCAACTGAGAATTGAGCCTAGATAGCGATCCTAAACCGAAAGAATCATCGTACAAATGAATTTTGCTAATATCAATTCTCAAAGCATAGATACTTTTCCTAGTCATATGCATGAAAAACATGTTGTTAAACGGAATTTATTAATGCTCTGATCAAGAGGGCAGTATCTGTACACAAAGTACACAAGAAACAAGACATGGTCAGGATATATCCAGCAAAAAAGGTCATCAGACTGGTCTGGTTGGCCCCATGCCGAAGCCTTGGAAGCACTTTGACAAGACCTTAGTTGAAGATTGGTCCTTGAACAACCCTCGTCCATTGACGCTATGCCCATTTTTTCTGCAGTTTGCCTCTCTACTGGTTTTGGCGCATGTAAAATCTCGCTCAAAAATTGATTTACCAGCTGCTTTATGGTTTATTTGGATAAAACTAATCCCACTAAAAAATTTAACTTTTCTTCTGGCTACTTGTCAATATAAAATAATCATAAGAAATTTTTTATTTCAGCGTGAATACCTTCTCCCTTTCAAGAATCAAGATGCGTTTTCTATAATAGAAACTTAAAATCTTCAAATCATTTTTTCATTCACTGCTAATTCTCTTTGAATATATGGAAGGATGAAACTGCTTTCTAATTAGAACTTTTGCGGTGTTTTTTAAAATTTATTGATGATATATGCTACCAATAATCTTCTATGATTAAAGGTAATTTACAAAATCTCTTATGGTATTTTTAATAATACTGCCCTTAACCTCCAAAGGACGACGATTGCAAGTAATAGATATATCATTAAATTCACCTTAATTATACCTTTAATCCAAGTAATAGCATTGTAAGAATTAGAATCCACAATCTATTAATTTTAAGAAGCATAGCTGCAATCTATACTGGAAAATAGTGCTTTTGACATCAGCTTCATTGGAGCTCATATTACCTGTAAAGTAAGAAAAAACATAAAGAAATGTTTCCCCAATACGATCTCTTAGAACCCCCACAAATTCTTGATGATGGATTTCCATTTGCAAAGGTGATAACATTTCATTTCAACATACTTGTAGAAAAAGGTATGCAAGATGAACCAATTTTCATTTTTATGTTTTATATCCATATAAAAAGGCTATTTGATTAGCAAGGTAAATCAAAGCTAGTATAGCAGAAACTCCCATCATGATATTTTATTCAAATCATAAATCAATGAAAAAATAAATAATAAATATCATCCTAGTACCCCATTAAAAATAAGTATTCCATATAATCTAGACAAGTTCTTATAATTAAATTCTTAAAAGTAAAAATTGCTTCTGATTTTTATTTTAAAAATCAAACCAAGTTTTTATACTATGATTAAAAATAAAAAGCAAATACACACCAAATAATGATGGATGATTGGCCCACACATATTGCTATGGACTAGTTGAAGTGGCATTATTGCTTCTGCATGATTTCTTTTGGAAAACTCCATGTTTCATCTCCTTCAATAGCTTTGAAGTGTTTCAACAAATGTAGGTTTACACCTCCAGTAGTCAAATGCTCTTAGAGTCTTAAGATTTTATCTAGATCATTTCCCATATTGTCAATATAGGCCTGCACCTCCAGTAGTCAAATGTTTTTTTTATTATAAAGAATAAATCAGATTATTTAAATTAAAAAATTAATTAATTATTTAACAGATAAATTTTATTTCTAAATATCTTGAATTTTATAGCTCACCTTGTCCAAATGCATACTGTACAAATTAGATTATTTTTTTTCCAGCTACTAGAGACGTAACTCTTGGTTTTGCAAGAATGCCGGCCGATTGGACAAAATCTTTAGTTCTGCAGTTCCCAAGGTTACAGATGGATAAGAACATAGATGATAACATCTAGGAAATATTCGTATTCTTAGTTATGTCTTCTTCAGTAGCAATAGCGAAAAAAATTCCAAAAATGAGAACAAGAGTGGAGACTGGAGCGGATTAAACTAAAATGAAACACTAGATAAGTAAAGCAAACATTATATATAAAAAAAACATATATACTAAGTGGGATCTTCGTGACTAATTTCTAATGTAACTGAGAATTCTGATAGCAATGAGAAGTTTTCCTTTGATGGTTTTTCTTCTCTGGTAATTCTGTCTCCGCTCCTCTTAATAATAGCATATGGATACTGATGGATTGTAGCTTAACTGGCATTGATGTCCCTTTTATTTTAAAAGGTCTTGCATTCGAACATCTTCTTTGCAACAAAATAATAATAATAGCCAAAAAAAAAACAGAGACAGAAAAAACCACGGAGGCAGAGTTCGACAACAACAATGGCAAGATTCTGATATCATAGGAATGATACACACACACATATAAGATAGAGATGGAAAAAACACCTTTGCATGTGACCTAGGCAGAGTTTGACAACAACAATGGCAATATTCTGATATCATAGGATAGCTTCCAAGTCGAAAGGTATATTGTAGATGATCACAAGACATAATTTTTAACGTATGATCCCATGTTTTTCGAAAAATTTAGACACCAAGAGGCAAGAGTCACCTAGCTACTCTTACCATATAATGATTATCATGAATCCTGTATGAATACATTTCAGAGACATTTTAAATGTCTCAATGATGTCACCAGTGAAACTTTGCAGCAAATACTAACCTGAAAACAATGGCAGAGAGCAGTTCAGCGAGAAAAAAGAATGTTGAACTATCAAGGAATAAAACTGATGGAAAGGAAAAATCTAGAAGTAGTGCTGCACCATCAGGGTCGTTAAAGACAGTCTTGAATCAGTCAGATTGGAAAGATATGTTATTGATGATACTTGGATCAATAGGGAGTCTCGCAGATGGATCTGCCATGGCTTTAATGATGCTGATTGTCAGCAGTCTCATGAACAGTTATGGTGACGCTTCTTTCACTCTTAAAGATGTAAACAAGGTTGGTTTAAAGCTACATTTGTCAACTTTGTAATTACATTACATAAGTAAGCATCATAAGCAGTACTAACATAGTAATCAATTAGGGTTGTCTCATTAACAATAATAATCTTAACGGCAGTCTCATTAGTAATTGATTGTTCATACTGCAGTTTTCGTTGGCATTTATTTATGTTGCTGTTGGTGTCGGCGCAGGCGCCTTTCTCGGTACTTCTTCTTTCTAATTGTTTGAACCCATGGCCAACCTAAAGAGTTACACCATAGGCTTGAGTTATTGGGTGGATTACTAATCTTCCATCTTGTTGTCTTGATTGTCAACAGAAGGATTCTGTTGGGCACGTACAGCAGAAAGGCAAACTTTTCGAATACGGAGGCAATATTTACAAGCTGTGTTATGGCAGGATGTTGGCTTCTTTGATACAAATCATGGTGCATCCATTGCATCTCAAGTGGTGTCCAGTATTTCAACTGACACACTCACCATACAAGGAGTTCTTACTGAAAAGGTGCTTAGATAGTAGACACTATGCTCACTAGACAAGGTTCATTTCAGACTTGTAAAATGAGTTTTTAGCTTATTAATTTGGTTTTTAGCTTATGTGAATTTAACATGAAATTTTAATCAGATTGCAAATTTCATTACGAACACAACATTGTTCGTTACGGCCCAACTTGCTGCTTTATACCTCAGCTGGAGGCTGGCTATAGTGGCTATCCCCGCATTGTCGATGTTAGTAGTTGCAGGATTCGTATACGCAAAGCTTCTAGGTGATGTTGGAAACAAGATTCAAGCAGCCTATGAAGTTGCAGGAGGAATAGTGGAGCAAGCAGTGTCATCAATCAGGACTGTTTATTCCTATGTTGGAGAGGAAAGGACTGTCAAGGCCTACAAGATTTCTTTAGAACCAACTTTAAAGCATGGGATAAAACAAGGATTGATGAAAGGAATGGCCATCGGTACCATTGGTGTTACATTTGCAGTGTGGGCACTTCAGGGCTGGTATGGAAGTACTCTGGTCATGCATAGGAAAGCAAAAGGGGGAGACGTTTTTACCGCTGGAGTTTGCATTGTATATGGAGGACTGTAAGTTCACTGAGTTTTGATATTCAAAATGCATTATAATTTTAAGCACAGAATACTTGCATCAATTTTTTCTAATTTATCTGAACAGTGAGGCCAGCGAGGATTAGGAAAATTTAGATACCAGTATCCTTTTACATAGAATCATTTCAACAACAATGTCCACAAGCAAACTAAGTATTTCCTGTTGCATGCTGCACTCGTATAATATTAGGAGGTAAAACTTTCATTACATTCAAAGATCTGAAATGATGACAAAGCAACTTTGCAGGGGTCTAGGAGGTGCTCTAATCAATATCAAGTACTTCATAGAGGCAAATATTGCAGCTTCTCGGATTTTTGAGATGATTCATAGAGTTGTGGACATTGACTCTGCAAAAGAACTAGGCAAGACCATGTCAGAAGTTAAAGGTGAGGTGGAATTCAGAAACATAGATTTTGAGTATCCTTCAAGACCAGGGAGCTTGGTATTAAGCAAGTTTAATCTCAAAGTGATGGCTTGCCAGACTGTTGGGCTGGTTGGCAGAAGTGGATCAGGAAAATCAACAGTAATAAATTTGCTTGAGAAATTCTATGAACCTCTTAGGGGCCATATCCTGCTAGATGGTGTTGACATAAAGACCCTTCAGCTCAAATGGTTGAGAAGTCAAATGGGCCTGGTAAGCCAGGAACCTATACTTTTTGCAACCTCAATCAAACAAAACATCTGTTTTGGAAAAGAGGAGGCTTCAATGGAAGAGGTCATGGAAGCCGCTAAAGCTGCTAATGCCCACAACTTCATCTGTGAACTACCTGAAGGATATAACACCTTGGTAAGTCCTGACTATAGGATTTTCTCTAATATCAGTTGTTATTCGACATCCTCACCCAAGTAATAGTTTGTAATAAATCTTGCTGCATACTGTTTTGTGTAACTAAGAATGGCAATTGGAAAAGAAAGGAACCAAAAGAATAAAGGAAGGTATATACAAATTCCAATGACAAACTTTTTCAGGTGGGACAATTGGGAAGTCAATTGTCTGAAGGCCAGAAACAAAGGATTTCCATCGCAAGGGCACTGTTAAGGGATCCAAGAATCCTTCTTCTTGATGAAGCAACAAGTGCGTTGGATTCTCATTCTGAGAAAGCTGTCCAAGATGCTTTGAATCAAGCCTCAATAGGAAGAACTACCATTATTGTTGCGCACCGCCTATCTGCTCTTCGCAATGCGGACTTGATTGCTGTAATTCAATCAGGAAAATTGGTGGAATCAGGCTCCCATGAGCAACTTATGCAAAACTTGAGCGGTCCATACTCAATAATGGTGCAGCTACAGAGAAACTTCATAGACGATGAAGTTACATCAAAAGCTCAAGATACTGGATCTAGCAGCTCTGTTGTTCTTGATACAGGAATTGCTAATGCAGAACAGAAGGATGATACAAGTCTCTCACAAAGCTTTAGCGATAAGAAGAAAGCCAACCAGCAGCAAGATGATAATTACAGTTCCCCTTCACTATGGCAGTTAATGAGCATGGCAGCACCTGAGTGGAAGCCAACCCTGGTAGGTTTCATTGCTGCTCTTGCCTGTGGACTAATTCAGCCATTGCACTCTTTGTGCATGGCTGCACTTCTAGCAGTTTACTTCACAACTGATCACAACGAGCTAAGGTCGCAAACAAGATTTTATTGCTTTGCATTTTTAGCCTTCGCTGTCTTTGCTTTCCTGACCAATGTGATTCAGCATTACTATTTTGGGATAATGGGAGAGAGCTTGACAAAAAGAGTCAGGGAGGCACTTTTTGAAAAAATCTTGACATACGAGATCGAGTGGTTCGATCAAGAAAACAACAGCAGCGGAGCCGTATGTTCAAGATTAGCCACAGATGCCACAATGGTGAGAACTCTTGTTGCTGATCGCTTGTCAATGCTGGCTCAAGCAATTTCTTCTGCTACTTTGGCTGTTGTTTTAGGTTTGATATTGTCATGGAAACTTGCGCTTGTAGCTATTTCTCTGCAACCCTGTATCATTGCTGCCTTCTACATTAGTACAACGACAATGCAAACAATGTCTAAGAAAATCCTCGACGCACAGAACGAGAGCAGTGAATTAGCAAGCGAAGCTGTTGTGAACCACAGAATTATTACAGCATTCTGTTTTCAGGAGAAAGTTCTAAAGCTATTTGAGCTTACACAGGTAAGTTCCAAGAAAGAAAGCCATAGGCAGTCTTGGTATGCAGGATTTGGATTGTTTCTCTCACAGTTCATCACAGGTGCCATTCCGGCTCTAACTTTCTGGTATGGTGGAAGGCTATTATACCATAAAGAGATCACTTTCAAGCACCTTTTCCAAACATTTTTAATCCTGGTGACAACAGGAAGACTTATAGCTGAGACAGGAACCATAACTGCCGACCTATCAAAAGGTACCAATGCACTGGAATCAGTTTTCAGGATTCTGAAAAGGAGGACCAAAATAGACCCTGAACATTCAGATGGTATCAAACCAGAAAAGATCAATGGGGAAATAGAGTTTAAGCAAGTTCATTTCTTCTACCCAAATAGACCAAAACAAATGATCCTGACAGGCGTAAACCTAAAAATTGATACTGCAAAGGTTGCTGCAATAGTTGGAAGAAGCGGGTCCGGAAAGTCCACCATCATTAAATTGATTGAGAGATTCTACGACACATCAAAAGGTTCTATCGACGTTGATTCAATCAACATCAAAAGTTATAACCTGAGGGCCTTAAGGTCGCATATCGCATTGGTAAGCCAGGAACCTACTCTTTTCGCTGGAACAATCCGCAACAACATTGCATATGCAAAGGAGAACGCAACAGAAGCAGAAATAATCGAAGCAGCAACTATTGCAAATGCTCATGATTTTATCAGGTGCCATTCTATTAAACACTTTTCTCTCTCTTATCCGTTCAAAATCCAGATTTTATCAAGTTTACTGCTTTTCTGGGCAGCTGCATGGAGGATGGATATGAGACCTACTGCGGCGAAAGAGGTGTGCAACTATCAGGAGGGCAAAAGCAAAGGATAGCTTTGGCACGAGCAATCTTAAAAAATCCTACAATATTGCTTTTAGACGAAGCAACAAGTTCATTGGATGTGAATTCAGAGAAACTTGTGCAGAAGGCATTAGAGAGGACCGTGACTGGCAGGACATGCCTGGTTGTAGCTCATAGACTATCTACCATCCAAAAAGCTGATAAAATTGCTGTGATTGACCAAGGAAGGATCATAGAAGAGGGCAATCATTTTGAGCTAATAAATAAAGGAGAAATGGGTGCATATTTCTCACTTGTAAAACTCCAACAACTTGCTGCCATGTGACAATGACCCTTATATGTCATGGTGAAAAGAGAACCAAGGTCGAAAGATATATCCATGCAATGTTTAGCACCCTTTTTTTGGAGCTTGCGTTGCATTGGTATAATAAATCTTTTGAATCAGCTTAAGTGTTTATGCTACTATTTTAATTTGGGCCATGGTTACGGCATTGAAATGTCAATAAAAAAATATTTATACAGAGGAAACTAGCTATGTACATGTGCTACTTTATGGGCCCAATTTTTTTTATCATACTTTTCAGTTATGCAAACCTGGTTAAAAAAATAGATAAATTTATTTTTTAGGTTATATACCTGAATGGTTAAAAAAATAGATAAATTTATTTTTTGGGTTATATACCTGGATTAAATAAGTTGGTTTTAATTTAATTAGATAAAAATATAAACAATAATAATAGGTAGATTAAACTAAAAAATGATTATGATAGCATATGAAAAATATTATTTTTTAATAAAAAATAAAAAACATAGCTTAATTCTCAGCTCATAAATATTAAAGGATTAAATTAGATATAAAAAATAAAAAAATTAATCTAAGTTAATTCAAGTTAGTATGATAAACCTATAACATGACAATCAAGATCGAGTCATCTCAAATAATTCTTTTAAACTTGTAATTTAGGTCATAAGATCGAAACAACCTAATAAAAAACATAAAACTTATTAAAAAATAATATCAATTCTTGTTAATTTTTTTTAATCCGTTATCCAAATTATTAGATTTAAAATATTTTATTTAGAAAAATTTTAAAAATTTAATTTTTAACTAATCAAATATTAAATAACAAAATTAAAAAGATAACATAGAGATATGCCGGTATTACAGATGTAGGTTTTTTTCTAACCCAAAGATTATAGTGCCATGGAATATAACAAACAACTGCATACATGCACGCGCATGTTCATCCTCGTCCAGTTCATTGTATTCTATTATGACATTCCAAAAAAGCATGACTTGAATTCTCTACCACTTCAATTGCATATTTGAGAAATAGCATGAACCAGAACCTTAACTTCTAAGCACCACTGGTTTTTCCCATGCTTCGTATACTTTAGTTGCCTCAGGAGTTTGAATTTACAAGTCCTATTCATATCCATTTTGAAACCCCTTTCTTGGTTTTATTCTAAACAATAATCCTAAATCAGAGCCTAGAAGCAAAGCATTATATAGTTTTGAACTGAACTTTTCTTGCCTCTTTTCTCGGGTGAATTCAGGCGTCAAAGACAACATTATGCAGAGTTTCTTCCTTGCCGAGACACTTAAGTATCTCTATCTCCTATTTTCTCCTCCATCTGTCATCTCTCTGGATGAACGGGTTTTTAACACTGAAGCGCACCCGTTGAGAATTGTGACTCGCAATCATCAAGAGAAGTTTAACGTTGATAGACAACAGAAGTTACCACTTCATTTTCGCCGCAGAAAAGAGGGTCGATTAGTATACAATTAGCTGGCATCCTCCCCACATTTTCAGCCAGCGCAAAACCAATCAAAATTGAAGAAAATTAAAGAAAATATATTGCTGCTATGATTCTGGATTAATGGAAGACCAATTCAAGAAAGCAAAACTAATCACATTAAGAACTCTTTTCTTGGATGACAGTTTTAAAAGAAGAAAACGAAATGCTTGTCTGGTGCTCAGGCACATGGTTATCTCAAGTCATATCGAATTAAAATGATGTTTAAATATGGTTAGCCTAACTGAAACGTTCAATATTAAAATGATGTTTCTTTCTCTTTTTTTTTGTATTTGAAAATCTAAATTACCCCCTTCTATTCCACCTTTCTTTCCAGTTGTTTTGGAGGTAACTGAGTTGATTTCTTAGATTCAAGCCCGTTGGATAACTTGTTAAACAGCTTGATATCTGGAATTTAACTCGCGAATACCTTTGTTAATTGCAAAGTTAGAATCAATTTTCCCAAATATATATAGAAATGGAGATTAGGTCGCCATTGCATGTGCAGCACCTCCAAAAGTCACCCTGGAATCCAGAAGAGAACGTGTAGACGACTGCAAAAGACATCCATCGATAAAGGGTTCTTTCTAAATGCCCTCCCAACATGCGGCAGTTGCTTTGCACCTTGGAATGAATGCCTTCTCGCCTACTTTCTCCATGTGAGATAAGTACTTTCACTTTCAAACCCACCTGTTTTCTAATTCTTTGAACAGTAGCATTGTGCGTAAAGTTTTATTATAGCAAAATGACACAATTTGAGGTTGTTGGAAAATAGCACATTTTGAACAAATACATGGTTTCCATTCGCGTCTTTGTTCGAAAACACGATTCTCAATTGATCGCGGTTACATAACGAAATAGCATAAAAACTTGGCTCTAGTGTTTTTACAACTAAAAAAATCATCGGCTCAATCTCCTACTTCATTATCCTTGCTGCAACCAATACTCAAACCACCACCAAGTTGTCCACAAATCAAGCTAAAAACACGATTTCTTTTAATTTAATGGGTTTCATTATTTAACCGTGAGATTTTTAGTTTTAATTTATTAATGCTTGTGTGTTGTTTGATAATTGGATATTTTGTTTAAATTGAGATGATTTAGGGTTGGTGTCAAGCAATTAGGTATGCTCTTTTATGCAATTGATGTTATTTATTGAATTAATTAGGTCGGAATTATATTTATAAATCAAGGTCTTGATGTATCTAACAACTCTCATAATCAGAGATTTTGCTTGAACTTTAATTAGAGATTTTGTTTGAACTAAGATAATTTAAATTTTAATTGATAAAATTAGATATATTTTTATGCAATTGATGTTATAAAGGTCAAAATCATAGCAATTAGGGTTTACATTGTGTTTTAGGATTTGCGTTGAATTTTGGGATAAATTACTATAATTAATAATTTTATTTGAACTCGAATAATTGAAGTTTTAATTGATGTAATTAGTATTTTTTTTTCATACAATTCATGCTATAAAGGTCAAAATCATAAAAATTAGAGTTTGCATTGAATTTTATGATAAATTATTGTAATTAGAGATTTTTTTTAATTGAAATAATTTAGGTTTTAATTGATGCAATTATGCATTTTTTCCAGCAATTTATTGAAATGAGTATTCTATTTTATAGAAAATATCTCTCAACTTATGTAAGTCATATCATTATAGTAGTATTATTATTCCTCTTTTTTTATAGAATATGTTTTTCAAATTGAATATGTTATGTCATTATTTTGGTACTATTATTCCTGGAATAAACAATAGAACCACTTATAATGATAAAAATACTATGTTATTGAATGTTTTTAGAGGTATATCAGATATTAAACAAGCTATATGTGGAATTTTTTTAAGATTGTAAAGTTTAAATATATTCATATATGTACCATTATATTTGTGCAAGAAAACCACTATCAACTTTATTCAAAATTTGTTGGATTCGTGGTTTTAACTTTTATTAGTGCTAACATTGCTTATAAGGTATAAAATACAGTACCATTATATTTGTGCAAGAAAACCACCATCAACTTTATTCAAAATTTGTTGGATTAGTGGTTTTAACTCTTATTAGTGCTAACATTGTTTATAAGGTATAAAATATATGAGAAGAAATAAAATTGTACTATAAATTTAAATTTTTATATTATAAGGCATGGGTTGGTGCTCGAGTAATTTTTTTATACATATAGGGACTCATTTGAAATATTTTCTAAAATGTTATTATTAATAAAAGAATTAAATCCTAGCATAGTTGTTAAGTGAGATCATAATAGGCAGTTTGATAATAAAATTACTATTTATTTATAAAAAAAGAATTACAAAAAAAGACCAGAACTTTGAGGTTTAGAGCGTATTTGATATTGAGGTTGCAGTTGCTTTCAAGGTGATTTTTGTTCAGAAATATATTAAAATAAATATATTTTTATTTTCAAAAATTATTTTTGATACTAGCATATCAAAACAATCTAAAAACACCAAAAAATTAATTTTAAATAAAAATAAATAAAATTTAAAAAAAAAACAAACAAGATTTATCCTGTATATTTTATATCTGATTCAAATTCTTTCAAAATTCTAAAGAAATGAATTTTTTTTTGCTTATTTGAAGTTTCAGGCATTGACCCTTAAAATGAGTCTTGCATTCTCTGTTGTTGTATCACAAATATGGTATTAATGATTATGTAATTTTACCGGTGAGTGAATTTGGTCACAAAAATGGTAGTAGAAGTGGTGGCTTTTGTCAGATTCATTAGGTTTCCAACCACTTAGAAATTCTTCTAAGTATAGATCTCTTCTCCATAGGTTTTTCTCAACCTTTAAAAAAAAAAATTATAAGTATAGAGTCTTTTATATCTCACCTCACATTCTTCGAAATTTTTCTATGTTAGGTTTCGTTATATTTTCCCTATACAAGCTAAAATTTCTTCAAACATAATGCACACCTCTACACAAGGGCTCTCTGATAAATAATTCTAGGTTTTCATCCCTCTACTTATACAAAGATAATTTGATGAATTTGTCAATATAACCAAGTAGTTTTACAAGTCTTTATACATTAATATCATAAAAACTTTAGAATTACTAATAAATTCAAATTTAATGGGTAAAAGCACCCACATGGGTTTGAGCTATCATGCTCGAGCCCAACATGCTACTAAGAGGGACAAGCTTGAGCATGGTAGTCTAAGCTCGTGCTAGGCACGCTGCCCAACACCTTCATGGGCTTGGACTGTCACACCCAAGCCTAATATGTTTGGATCTAGGTAGCATGTTTTAGTCTATGTTTTGCTCCTAATGAGTTCAGGCAACTTGCCTGATCTTAACATTTTTTTGAAAATTTTTCTAGGACCCCCTTCGAATTCCTTCATATTTTATATTAATTCAATATATATTATTTGACGTAGAATATAATTTAAAATATCATAAGAGTTAAATGACTTTTCAATATCTTATTTTCATAAAAAGATAAGACTAATAAGCTATAAATACCCTATAAATCATTCAAACTCTAAGTTTATAATTTCTTCATTCTTTATATTTTT